GAGAGATGCAAATTAAAACCACAATGAGATACCACTTTACACCAGTCAGGATGGCTATCATAAACAAAGCAACAAACAACAAATGTTGGAGAGGGTGTGGGGAAAAGGGGTCCTTAGTTCACTGTTGGTGGGAGTGCAGACTGGTACAACCATTATGGAAAACAGTATGGAATTTTCTCAGAAAAATAAAAATCGACCTTCCTTTTGACCCAGCAATCCCACTGCTGGGATTATATCCTAAGAATCCTAAAACATCAATATCAAAGAACCTATGCACCACAATGTTCATAGCAGCACAATTTACAATAGCCAAGAGTTTGAAGCAACCTAGGTGCCCATCAGTAAATGAATGGATCCAAAAATTGTGGTACATATACACAATGGAATTCTATGCTGCAGAGAGAAAGAAGGAGTTACTACCCTTTGCAACAACATGGAGGGAACTGGAAAGCATTATGCTGAGTGAAATAAGCCAGGGGTTGAAAGACAAATACCATATGATCTCACCTTTAACAGGAAGCTAAACAACAAAACAAACAAGCAAGCAGAAAAGCAAAACAAAACAAAACAAAGACACTGAAATAGAGAACAAGGGGATAGTGACCAGAGGGGAGAAGGAAGGGAAGTTAAGGGGAAAATGGGGGAGGGATTTGGAGGAACAAATAGGAAAAACACAGGGACGAGAACTAAGGGGGGTGGAAATGGGAGGGAGGTGGGGAGCAAGGGACGGAGGAGGCTGGGATGGGAAAAATAGACAAAAAACTGTACTTGAAAAATAACTAACTAAAAAAAAAAAGATTGTTGCTGTTGCTCTCCAAGAAGCACAGACTTCCCATGCATTGCATCATCAGAATGCTACTGCTCTAAGGTTACAATTTCATCTAAGTAGAGAGCAGGCCAGGCAAATAGTGAGAGAATGCTCTTCGTGTGTGACACATATCCCGGCTCAATCTGAAGGGGTTAATCCGAGGGGGCTAAAACCTAACTCTATTTGGCAAATGGATGTTACCCACATCCCTGAATTTGGCACACTGGGTTACGTTCATGTAATAATAGATACTTATTCTCATGTGATCTTTGCCACTGCTAGAACAGGAGAAGCAGTAAAAGATGTCATTCAACATGTAATTCAAGCCTTTGCTTATATAGGTCAACCAGCAGAAATAAAAACTGATAATGCTCCCACATATACTGCAAAATCATTTAAAGATTTTTGCAACAAATTTCAAATTTGTCATAAAACAGGAATCCCTTATAACCCCCAAGGGCAAGGGATTGTTGAAAGAGCCCATCAAACCCTTAAAATTCAAACTGAAAAATTAAAGACTGGAGATAAGCAATCTCATCTGTCTCCTCATCACATTTTAAATCATGCCTTATTCGTCATTAATCGTTTGAATGCTAATGAACAAGGTTTAACCCCAATGATGAGACATTGGGGAGTTCAAAATGTGCCTAAAGAATGGGTAAAATGGAAAGACTCCATTACGGAAGAATGGAAAGGACCTGATATTTTATTAACAAGGGGGCGAGGATACGCCTGTGTTTTTCCACAGGACGCAGAAGTACCCGTATGGATCCCGGAAAGACTCATCCGGAGGGATAAAGAAGCGACAGATGCCACCCTTAAAACCTCCTACACTTAATCCTATCCTTGAAGAAGAAGAACCTGAGAGTCTGGTCCCTCAGATGTCTCGCCTGCAGCTTGCTCCTCCACCACAATACCCATCCACTCCTCGACCATCTCGGCGCACTCAAGAAAGCGACCTACCCACCTGGGGTCAGATTAAGAAGTTGTGCCACGAGGGACAATGGGTAGCTGATACTGTAGCTAATACTACAGGAAAGCCTACCACCCCAGAAACATCTCTGCTCGCTATAGTAACACTCCTGTCTCTCCAGGGAGTAGCAGCAGAGTCTCTTCATCAGACCTATTGGGCATATAGCCCTAGTCCTCCCCTCTCTCACCCAGCAGTCTGGGGGGAAAACCAACCTAAGCTATACACTAACAACACTGAACTTCTCGGAGGAATTCCCGATACCTTAACTGCCCACACTACTGCTGCTAAGAATTTCACCTTCGAAGGATGTGCAGATGATGCCCCTCTGTGTTTCTCGACCTCTGGCCCCCCTCCTTCCGGGTGCCTACCTATTAACTGTACAACTGTTGTTACTGACTCTCCCTCCAGTTTAACAGACTATAGCCGTTCTCTTTGGGGACTTAATATAGTCACCCTTGGTCATTATAATTATAATGATACTTATAAAAATAATACTTCCCTCCCTAAGGCTATAGATTCATGTCTAACTGATTATCCAGAAACAGATATATACTAGAAAAATACTGATCTCAATTCAGGATTTCCAAGATGGCTAGTTTGCGGGTTTCCAGGAACTAACTTAACTATTTTTGATTATTCAATCTCCTCTCCTTATTATAATTATACCTCTTACCTACTGAATTCTACTCACAAGTTTTTTCTTAACAACACAAGAACTTTTAATCCTCATGAACCCTTGAGCCGCTATTACTCCCCAGGATGGGTCGCCCCTATTTATGTAACTAATTCCACAAGTCATTCTCGATCCTCCATTTATCCAGACTTATACAAATTGTTTGCAGCCACCAATATGGTTATTTTTGATAGACCTACTAGTAATGTTTCAACTATTTATAGTATTAGAGCATGTGTTAATACCCCTCATGCAATCTTAATCGGATCTCTTCATACAAAGCAACGGGGCTCCTCTTTTTATATTAACTGTTCTAATTGTATTCTAACCAACTGTATTGATCCTGGGCTTCCCAAAAACCTAACCACATTTCTCACAGTTTTTCAACCCTCGCATGTCCTGATGCCTGTAGTACTATCTGGAGATTGGTATGCTGATACAGGTTTATATATACTAGAAAAAATAGATGGGTTAATAAGACCAAAAAGATTTGTAGCCGCTCTAATATTAGGAATGACTGCTTTAATCAGTATAATAACCTCTATTGCATTATCAACTACCGCTTTAGTACAAGAAGTACATACTGCACAACATGTTAATCAGCTCTCTCACAATATTTCCCTTGCACTAATTCTGCAAGAAAAAACTGATAAGAAATTAGAAACTAGAGTAAATGCCTTAGAAGATACGGTTATATATTTAGGTGACCAGATTCAAAATATAAAGACTCAAATGACTACTAGTTGTCATGCAGATTTTAAATGGATTTGTGTCACACCTTTGCCTTATAATCAAAATTTCACCACTTGGCCTCAGGTGAAAACTCATTTGCAAGGTATTTGGCACGATACTATGTTAGGACCTGATCTCAAAGGCCTACATACCAAAATTACAGAATTAGTCAGGCATATTTAACTGCACCAGGTTCTGAAACTGCAGACAGAATCTGGAAGTCTATTCAAGAATCCATCAACCCTGTCATGCAGTGGTCTAGTTTAATACATATTGGAATCACTGGCTTAATTATTCTAATCTTAATCCTTGTTTTTCCAGTCGTCTTCCGAGTAATCCTCTCCTCCCTTCGAAAAACTACGTTGGAATTTCATCAATTTCGGCTAAAAAATAAAAAAGAGGGAAATACCACGTCCACTGCCGCGTCCACTGTTGGATCCCTCTCTCCGTGACAAGGTCCTGAGAGGGGGTGTTAAGACTTCAAGGAAGCAGTTTCCAACCTGGTGGACGTGGCATGGAAGGCCCTGCAGTACCTATTGTGATTGTGCTTGCTTTGGGAATCATGACCCTTTTTGCTTTAATCATTAGGAATACCCTGGCAGTGATTCAGATAGTGTGCCTAGACCTTTCCCGGCTCAATGAACAGAATAATGATATCATACTAGAAACGTCAGGGAATATAGGTACAAAGAAACAACCAGAACAATCTGAGAATTCAAGCTTAATCAATAACAGATCATTGGAAAAACACCCAAGATAAGATACAATACTCTAGGAAATCAGGAGATGATCTCACTGCTTTCTTAGAGGGAATCAAAGTACAAAACATGTCTATAAAAGAACTCCTAGAGAAACTTAAAAGAAGTACCCTTGAAAGCCCCCTGCAACATAAGAATAGCCCCTCCTTTACCTTGAATAAGAATATAGATCAACTAGACAGGCAAAGAAATAACAAAAGCTAGTTAGATATTACAAACTAAACAGTTACTAGGGAGTCAGAATTTATAGTACACAGAAAAACATTTTGGGCAAAAAAAAAAAAAAAGGGTAGATAGCTAAGTTAGACATCACAAGGGCCTTATAATAAATTTCCTATTTTCTCTACTCAATCTAGCGTATCCTTTTGCCCTATGACAAATTCTGAGAAACTTTAACATACAATAGGATACTTCTAATTGTCTGATTAATGGCTCTCCTAGTTAAAATAATCTTTGATCTTTATAACTAAATGTATGGGAACTTTCGTACTTTTACTGATTACCTTTGTATTGATTTTTTTCTGCTCAAATGATCATGTTATACTGCAAATGTTAATCACTACCTAAAATGAAAATATAAAAGCCTGCTTGTACTTGCAATAAACGGAACAGAGCTTCACTGTCCTTTGAGGCGTGTTGTCGTCTGTTACCCAGCACCGACGCCTACCCTCACCTGTGGGACCCCTTGACCTGCTGCGGCCGGACTGGGGCAGTTGAGCAGTGAGTCTCCAAGTTTGTTGGGAGCGCAAATCGATGCTAATTTTTGCAGTGCCTCCTAACTCTAACAACTTGCACTGGGTCTTCACGATTATCAGTTTCATGGATGCATAGTGTTTATTTCTCCAATTTTATTTTAAATTATGCCTCACAAATATCCATTTGCTGTTCTTCTTTAGGATTACATTCATACGTCTGTGTGTATTTATCTTCTGCCTAGTGCACAGGCATGTGTGTTGTTTTCTTCCAGAGTTATACTCTGGGGTTTGTTTTCATCTCTAATGTGAAGAAAGGCCAGACTCTGCCTACAGGATTCTGATGATCGACGCGCACACTGACCTGCCTGCCCAGTTCGGGCATGTGGAGAAGGCCCTGGCCCTCGGCAGCCTGGGAGCAGGCTGGCGGCATCCACGGGATCGGTCACGGCAGCGCCTCCGCAGACCACCTGCAGCTGCTTCGCTGCCTCTGTGCAGGGTGAGAACTCCTTCTCCACTCTTCCACGACCGGCGTGGGAGGCAGCACATTCCATGAGCAGCAGACGAGTGCCTCTCGCCCAGGCACTGGTGACTTTAGAGACAGCTCCAGCTGAATGTTGGAATGCACATAATGCACGCGTAAGTACACACTGAATTAAATTTTTAAACATTCAATACTTTGTTATTTAAAAACATCAAAATAAAATCAATACAAAGTTCTAAAGCTCAGGTCTTTTTTTTCCCCTCTTCTTGCACATTTGCCACAAGAACCTGGGTCAAACAGAAAAATGAGAGACAGAGAATCTGTTTTTCTCCTGGCGACTCATAACGAACACACAGGGAGCTGTGCTCAGGGTCCTAGGGCTGACGCCATGACAGCAGCAATGGCGTGTTGGCTTTTGCACAAGCTGCCCCATTGCCCTCAGGAATAAAAGCCGTGTGCCACATCACAAGAAGGACCGCAGGGACACACACTGTTGTGATGCTTCTACCCTTCTCATCAGAACGTCTGCTCGGGTCTCTGTCTCACACACACACACACACACAGACACACACACATCCTCAGAACAACAGGTGCAGACAAAGGTGAGTTCAGCGTGAACCGTTTTCCCCAATACAACCTTAGGGCACACCCAAGCCCCTACTGCCCGACCCGAAAGGAAAGCTGCATTGGTGAGGGCCTGCATCCACAGACTTACCACTTCCACGCGCCGCTGTGTTCTAAGGCCCCAAATGAAACAACTGGGGGCGTGCAGGGGTGGGAGTTGTCAGGAGTCCCACCAAGATGCAGAGCCCCTGAGTGCGGGAGCAGGAGCATCCCACCCCACAGGTACAGGTGGAGGGTCGGTCTCTATTTGGAGGGGAAGTGTGAGGTTGTTCATTGATCCTCAAAGAGAAACATGTTTTAAAGCAGTTCATTTCCCTTCTGTTATCATCAAAACCCAAGTTGAAATGGGAATTTCTCACTCCTCTCCAGGTGCGAAATTATAATGATATTAAAAATGTTCCTGGATGCTGGGAAGATGGTGACGGAGTAGGATGGAGCTGATACTAGCTCCTATACTCAAGGGTGAAAATCCTGGCAGATCTATAGAGAAACAGCACAATAAACCATTGGTTACCCAGCATTTTTGAAATTAAAAGACCAGAGATTGTGACCGACGCTGAAACACCAGACGGCGGCAGAGTCAGCTACTGGAGCTGGGACACATGCGGCCCCTGTGCTGCTGCCAGAGCAACAGGCCTGGGAGCCGGGGAGTCAGGTATGGGAGCCGGACACTCCAAGCCCCTGTGAAGGTCCTCGGCGACAAAGGAGTCAGGAACCTGAGCTGGGACATTCTTGGCCCCTGTGCCGATGCCATAGCTACCAGCCTGAGCAAGAGAAGAGTCAGTTGCAGGAGCTGGGACACCGGAGGCCCCTGTGACACTGCCATAGAGATGGGCCTGGGCGCCATGGAGCCAGCTACGGGAACCGGGACATTCTCAGCCCTTGTGCCGCTGCCATAGGGACGGGACTGGATGCCGGGGAGTCAGGTACGGAAGCCGGGACACTCCAAACCCCTGTGACGGTCCAGGGCAGCAGCAGAGGAGTCAGCTACGGGAGCCGGGACATTCTTGGCCCCTGTGCCGCTGTCGTAGTAACATGCCTGGGAGCTTGAGGAGGCAGCTACTAGAGCCCGGACATTCAGCGGTGGTAGGCGACCAACGCAGGGATCAGCGTGAGGACCAGCGTGAGAATAGATGGAGACAGAGAACATCAAGAAACTTCAAGGAGTCCGCACCACTGAACTTCACAAGGATCATACCACAGAAGTTTACACCATAAAACCAGGCTTTCAGAACAGATCAATTTTAGAAGCAGAGGCTAACAAGAAAAGTCTCAAACAATGGGAAGACAAAGAAACAATCCCCAAATGAAAGAAAAAGCAGAAACTTCAGAAAGAATGTTAGATGGAATAGAGGCTAATCAACTATCAGATAGTGAATTCAAAGCACTGGTTATTACGAAGTTCAAAGAGCTCACAGTGAACTACCAGAAACTACAGGGGAACTACAATGATCTCTCTGCAAACTACATCAACATGAAAAAGGAAATGGAAGCTATCAGCAAGGGACAAGAAGAAATGAAGAATACAATTTCTGAATTGAAGAACACAGTGGAAAGTTTCAAAAGTAGGATAGATGAAGTGGAGGATAGGATTAGTGAGTTGGAGGACAAGGTGGAAAGCATCTCACAGAAAGAGCAAGAAAATGAAAAGAGGCTCAGAAAGAATGAAGAGGGATTAAGAGAAATGCAGGACAATATGAAACATAGTAATATCCAAATAATAGGAATACCAGAAGGAGAACGAGAACCAGGGATAGAAAATGTATTTGAATGAGTAATGAGAGAAAATTTCCCTAATTTGATAAGAAAAAAAGTCACACAAATCCAGGAATCACAGAGAGTCCCAATCAAGAGGAACCCAAGGAGGCCCACTTCAAGACACATCATCATCAAAATGGCAAAATTCCAAGACAGAGACAATCTTAAGGGCAGCAAGGGAGAAAAAAGAAATAACATACAAGGGAGCCCCAATAAGGTTAGCTACTGACTTCTCAATGGAAACACTCCAAGCAAGAAGAGAATGGCAAGAAATATTTCAAGTAATGAGAACCAGAGGCCTACAACCAAGGCTACTTTACCCAGCAAGGCTCTCAATCAAGATAGATGGCCAAATAAAGAGCTTCCAAGACAAAAGAAGCCTAAAAGAATACGCCTCCACCAAACCCGCTCTACAAGAAATACTAAAAGGACTGCTTTAAGGGAAGGAAGGATAAGAGGGAGACAGAGAGGAACACAGGTACAAAAATGGCAATGAATAAGTACCTATCAATAATAACCTTAAACGTAAATGGATTAAATGCTCCAATCAAAAGACACAGAATAGCTCAATGGATAAGAAAGCATGACCCACACATATGCTGCCTACAAGAGACCCACCTCAGGACAAAAGACCATCACAGACTAAAAGTGAAAGGCTGGAAACAAGTTTTCCAAGCAAATGGACAAGAAAAAAAAAGCTGGGGTAGCAATTCTCATATCGGACAAAATAGACTTCAAAAAAAGGGCCATAAAGAGAGACCCAGAAGGTCACTTCATTATACTCAAGGGAAGAATCCATCAAGAAGACATTAACATTGTAAACATATATGCACCAAACATAGGGGCACCCAAATATATCAAGAAAATCTTAGAGGACTTCAAGAAAGATATTGACAGCAACACAATTATAGTAGGGGATTTTAACACCCTACTATCAAAAATGGACAGATCTTCCAAACAAATTATCAACAAAGATATTGTGGCATTAAACACCACCCTAGATGAAATGGACTTAACTGATATATATAGAGCCCTTCATCCCAAAGAAGCTAAATACACATTCTTTTCAAATGCACATGGAACATTTTCAAAGATACACCACATGATAGGACACAAAACGAGCCTCAAAAAATTCAAGAAAATTGAAATCATACCAAGCATCTTCTCTGACCACAAGGGACTGAAACTGGAAACCAACCCCAAAGAAAAAAACCCAAAGCACCCAAAATCATGGAGACTGAATGGTATGCTATTAAACAAAGAATGGGTCAAGAATGAAATTAGGGAAGAAATCAAAACGTTTCTGGAAACAAATGAAAATGATCTCACAACAACCCAAAACTTATGGGACACAGCGAAGGCAGTCCTGAGAGGGAAATTTATAGAAATGCAGGCCTACCTAGCCCTGGCTGGTGTAGCTCAGTGGATTGAGCTCGGGCCTGGGAACCAAGCAACCACGGTTCAATTCCCAGTCAGGGCACATGCCTGGGTTGCAGGCTAGTTCCCAGCAGGGGACACATGGGAGGCAACCATACATTGATATTTCTCTCCCTCTCTCCTTCCCTTCCCCTCTAAAGATAAATAAAATATTAAAAAAAAGAAATACAGGCCTACCTAAAGAAGATAGAAACATTTCAAACAAACAACCTAACCCTATGCCTGCAAGAACTTGAGGAACAACAACAAAGACAGCCCAGAGCAAGCAGAAGGAAGGAAATAACCAAGATTAGAGCAGAATTAAATGACATAGAGACTAAAAGCACAATTCTAAGGATCAATGAATCCAGGAGTTGGTTCTTTGAGAAGATAAACAAAATAGACAAGCCTTTAAGTAAGCTCATCAAGAAAAGAAGAGAGAAGACACAAATAAACACAATCAGAAATGAAAGAGAAGAGATTACAACTGATACCACAGAAATAGAAGGGATTGTAAGAAATTACTATGAAGAACTGTATGCCAAGAAATTTGAAAACCTAGGGGAAATGGACACATTTCTAGAAAAATACAATCTTCCAAAACTCAGTGAAAAAGAAGCAGAAAATCTAAATACACCAATAACAGCAAAAGAAATTGAGGCAGTAATCAAAAAACTCCCATCACACAAAAGCCCTGGACCAGATGGTTTCACAGGAGAATTCTACAAAGCATTTAAGGAAGAGCTAACCCCTATTCTCCACAGACTATTCCAAAAAATCCAGAAGGATGGAAAACTCCCAAATTCTTTTTATGAAGCCAGCATCATCTTAATTCCAAAACCAGATAGAGACACAACAAAGAAAGAAAACTTCAGGCCAATATCGCTGATGAACATAGATGCTAAAATCCTCAACAAAATATTGGCAAATCGCATCCAACAATATATCAAAAAGATCATACACCAAGACCAAGTGGGATTCATCCCAGGGATGCAAGGATGGTTCAACATTCGCAAAACAGTAAATGTAATACATCACATAAACAAAAGCAAAGACAAAAATCACATGATCATATCAATAGATGCGGAAAAAGCTTTCGATAAGGTACAACACCCATTTATGATAAAAACACTCAGCAAAGTGGGAATACAGGGAGCATTTCTCAAAATAATAAAGGCCATATATGAGAGACCTACAGCCAATATCATACTCAATGGGAAAAAACTAAAAGCTTTCCACTAAGATCAGGAACAAGACAAGGATGTCCACTTTCACCACTTCTATTCAATATAGTATTGGAAGTTTTAGCCACAGCGATCAGGCAAGAAAAGGAAATAAAAGGCATCCAAATAGGAAAGGAGGAAGCAAAACTGTCACTGTTTGCAGATGACATGATAGTGTACATGGAAAATCCTATAGACTCTACCCAAAAACTGCTCAAACTAATTAATGAATTTGGCAAAACAGCTGGTTACAAAGTCAATATCCAGAAATCAAAGGCATTTTTGTATACCAACAGTGAATCAGCAGAAGCAGGAATCAAGGAAAAAATCCCATTCGATACAGCAAAAAGAAAAATAAAATATCTGGGAATAAACCTAACTAAGGAGGTAAAAAACCTGTATGCAGAAAACTACACAGCCCTGAAGAAAGAAATCAAGGAAGACACAAACAAATGGAAACATATACCGTGTTCATGGATTGGAAGAATTAACATCATCAAAATGTCCATACTACCCAAAGCAATATAGATTCAATGCAATACCTATTAAAGCACCAATGGCATATTTCACAGACATAGAACAAACACTTCGAAAATTTATATGGAACCATAAACAAGCCCGAATAGCAGCTGCACTTTTGAGAAAGAAGAACAAAGTAGGAGGGATCACAATACCTGATATCAAACTGTATTACAAGGCCACTGTAATCACAACAGCATGGTACTGGCATAAAAACAGGCACATAGACCAATGGAACAGAACAGAGAGCCCAGAAATTGACCCAACTCTCTATAGTCAATTAATATTTGACAAAGGGGGCAGTAACATAAAATGGAGTAAAGATAGCCTCTTCAACAAATGGTGCTGGGAGAACTGGACAACTACGTGCAAAAAAATGAAACTTGAGCACCAACTTACACCATATACCAAAATAAATTCAAGATGGATAAAAGACTTAAATATAAGCCATGACACCATTAAAGTCCTAGAAGAGAACATCGGCAAGAAAATCTCAGATATTTCATGGAGCAACTTTTTTACTGATATGTCCCCTAGAGCAAGGAATATAAAGGAAAGAATAAACAAATGGGATCTCATCAAAATAAAAAACTTCTGCATGGCTAAAGAAAACAGTATTAAATTAGCAAGACAACCAACTGTATGGGAAAACATATTTGCCAATGATACCTCAGACAAAGGTTTAATCTCCAAAATATATAAAGAACTTACACGACTCCACTCTAAGAAGACACCCAACCCAATTTAAAAAATGGGAAAAGGACTTGAACAGACACCTCTCCAAGGAGGACATACAGAACATCCAGAGACACATGAAGAGATGCTCAATATCGTTAGCTATCAGAGAGATGCAAATTAAAACCACAATGAGATACCACTTTACACCAGTCAGGATGGCTATCATAAACAAAGCAACAAACAACAAATGTTGGAGAGGGTGTGGGGAAAAGGGGTCCTTAGTTCACTGTTGGTGGGATTGCAGACTGGTACAACCATTATGGAAAACAGTATGGAATTTTCTCAGAAAAATGAAAATCGATCTGCCTTTTGACCCAGCAATTCCACTGCTAAGATTATACCCTAAGAATCCTAAAACATCAGTATCAAAGAACCTATGCACCACAATGTTCATAGCAGCACAATCTACAATAGCCAAGTGTTGGAAGCAACCTGGGTGCCCATCAGTAAATGAATGGATCAAAAAATTATGGTACATATACACAATGGAATTCTATGCAGCAGAGAGAAAGAAGGAGCTACTACCTTTTGCAACAACATGGACGGAACTGGAAAGCATTATGCTGAGTGAAATAGGCCAGGTGCTGAAAGACAAATACCATATGATCTCACCTTTAACAGGAACCTAAACAACAAAACAAATAAGCAAGCAGAAAAAACCCCAAAACCAAAGACACTGAAATAGAGAACAAGGGGACAGTGACCAGAGGGGAGAGGGAAGGGAAGTTAAGGGGAAAAAGGGGGAGGGATTTGGAGGAACAAATAGGAAGGACACAGGGACGAGAACTAAGGGGGGTGTGGAAATGGGAGGGAGGTGGGGAGCAAGGGGGGGGGAGGCTGGGATGGGAGAAATAGACAAAAAACTGTAATTGAAAAATAACTAAATAAAATTAATAAAAAAAAATGTTCCTTCTCTGTTTTCCTAGGTTCCTTTGCATCTCTGGTGGGGAAGGGAGGGGCTTGGGGCCAGATTCTAGCCGATGAGATAGAAATTGAAGTTAGCCCTAGCTGGTGTAGCTCAGTGGACTGAGCACGGGCCTGCAAACCAGACAATCGTGGTTTGATTCCCTGTCAGGGCACATGCCTGGGTTGCAGGACAGTTCCCAGCAGGGGACGCATGAAGGCAACCATACATTGATGTTTCTCTCCCTCTCTCCTTCCCTTCCCCTCTAAAGATAAACAAATAAAATCTTTTAAAAAATTGAAGTCAATAAGGCTCATGATAGAGCCAGGGAGCTGCTATGAAATTTGGGGCTTTCTTGATACAAAAGTGTGGCCATTGTCAGTCCTCTCCTACTCCACACATTGGGCCTGTCGGCCTTTGACGTGGCTGTGATGGCTGGAGCAAAGGCAGCCAGTCTGCAGTCATGAGGGCAAAGGCAAGTGCAGGGAGAGCATTTCTCTCTATTTAGATGAGCCATTAATAAAAAACAAGTTTCCAGAGAAGCTGAGAAACATCCCAGAATACATGAAATGGACAACCTCGGAAGCATGTGTCATGTGAGCTCTAGGGATGCCCCAAATACCCAGGGTCTATATTTTTCAGGGTTCAGAAGCCGAAAAGTTGCTGGAGGGAGCCACTGAGGGAGTAGAATTTGCGTATCCATGTGAGTGTGACTCATCGATGTGAGTGTGACTCATCTACGGAGGAATCAACAGCGTGAGGGCCACAATGCAAGAAGTGCCCCTGCCATAGCTGGCAGTCCCTGGGACAGTCCCCCCGAAGACCCTGTGCACGGACACAGAAAGGCATTTCTGTTGTTCTCAGCTGCAGCTGTGTCTTTCTTTACGCACCTGCCTCTCTGCCTGGTCTATGGCTTTCTTGGGAGGCTGCACCCCACTCTGTTTGTTTTGAGCGCTCTGGCTCTACTCTGACCTTTGACCGCCAGCAGGTGCTCTGCGAATACCTGGAAGGTGAGTGCGTTCGATGCGCCGAAGCTGGTCCTGAAGCTGCGCAGGGTTAGTTGGGGCCAGTCTGGGCGTTTTTCTAGGATAAGAAACACCAACACCTGGTAGAGAAAAAAAAACCTTAATCCGGATTATTTTTTTATATCACCGACTGGTCCAATTTCTGCTTCTAAGAGCTACATTTGAATATCTTTTTGAATCCTATTTTTTGTTCCTGATACTCTCTTTAATCTTTCAGCATATAGCTTATCAAGCAGAAAAAATGATCCAAGTTTAGCGAGGCTTTTCCGATGCACTTGAACTTCCAGGAACAATGGAGGAGAAAGTCGTGCCGATCGATCGGGGGAGAAATAATAAGGTCTTTAAACGGACCCAGGCCCTTCCTCACCTAAGGGTGAGAGACTATTTATGAAGCGTCCCTCCCTGGTATTCTTCTGCTGGTTTCTGAGAACCCCAACAGAGAGACCCGGCCCGAAACCAGCGTTCCCAATGTTCCTGTGGGGATGACCCAGTCAGGTTTGAGGTCGGTACCGCGACCGGACAGCAGGCCCCTGCGCGGGCTGTCTATCCAGTCTGGGGGGCGCGGATCCCTCTGTGTGAATCGGCAACTCACCCGCATTTCCAGGATGGAGAATCGTGCGAGGCGTAGCGCAAGCCCCTTCCTCTCGCGTCCCTCCTCGTCCTCTCAGGCCCCCGTGGCAGAACCAGGCGCTGGCACCAGCCCTTCCCCCCCCCCCCCTTATGCCCAGTCAGGCCCCGTGGGGAGCCTTTCCCTGAGGTCTGGGCCATGCTTCTTCCCCAGACGTAACCCTGAGGTCCGGGTTCACGCTGCACTTCCCAGGTCTTCTCCCAATCCTGCAACTCGGCGCCGCCCACGCACCGCACCAGGTGTGTTGCATTTCTCCCCACCAACCGCCTTCACCTGCTCCCGGGCTGCGCTCTCCCGGGAGTTGCTCGAGGGAACAGTTAGCTCCGTGGAGATACAACTGGCCTGTAACCTTGCGTGGGCTTGAGGAGACAACTGGCTGGTTCGATACACATGGATTGGGAAACATTGCCACCGTGACGACCTAGCTCCTCCGCGGCTTCCCTTCCGTGGGTCCCTGGGGAGAACACTGAGACCTGCTCTCCCAACTGATCCCGAGAGGGGCCCAGTGAAATTCCCCCGAATGGGCACCAGGGGGCGCCTGTTCTGCGCACACCTTTGCCACTGAGTAACAAAAGATAAAATGGATTGTTTCCATTTCTTCGACATTTTCAAAAACGGTTACCCTTTGCAGTCTTGGGAAAACAACCTTTGTTAATGCTTCAGACCCTCGCCTCTCCGTGGGCAGGTGCCCGTGGAGCCGAGAAAGGGAGGCCCGAGTCCCTCCCCAGGCCTGCAGCGCACTCACCTAGAGTCCCGGCACCTGGTGTCTCCGGCGAAGCAGTTGGAGGCCTGGGGCCTCTCAAGAGAAAACCGTCCGCGCTGCACGGGCACCTGGAGTGTGTGCAGAAACACTGGAATCTGCAGACCCCCTGCAGGGAATAGGGGGCGTCCGCGCTCCCTTCTCAGGAGCCAGGTGTCCAACTCCGTCTCTGCTCTTCCTTGGCCACTCGACGTGCGGAATCGCTCTCACCCTCGGAGACGCAGAGCAGGCAACGCCCTTGCCAGGGGCCGGGAGACGGGGCGGGGAGGGGAGCAAAACTCCAGGGTTTGAGGGGCCGAGGCAGGAGACAGACTCCTGGACTCAGGCCCCAACCCGTCGTGCAGGTGGACCGACAGTCACGTGAGGGGGAGGCTCAGTGGCGAGCAGGTCAGCTTGCGGGACAAAGGCCAGGGACACTAGCCGTGCTCCCCATCCCAGCTTCACTGCTGACCGCGCAGGCGCAACGCAGGCGCAATTCCCGAACTGTCTCACCTGCGGGTACGGAGGGTTTTTTTCCCCCTACGATTCTTAACTGCGCTAACTGCTAACCACATGAAACACAGAAATGTTGACAGAAAAATTTTAACTGCAGAAGAAGAAAAACATTGATGAATTTCATCACGTAAAAAATATATGCTTTTTTTGGTAAAAAAAAAAAAAGAATGTTGAGAAAAGAGCAAACTGACCTCTAATACAAGCACTGCCTGGCTGTGCATTCTTGGGCAGATGAACTAACTTCTCTGAACTTCTGCTGCGTCATCCATGAGGTGAAAACGGGCAAACCTGCGGAGAGGCCATCTGGACGCTGTGCCTTTCTGGAACCGTGGGTGCTGCCTAGTGGGTCCTTGACCCACAGCAGCCGGACACATTTGCTGATGCCCAGAGACCCCGCCTCCTAACATGTTGTTACTTTGAAGCAACCATGGGCTTATTTTTATTGGTTGCTTTACATTTCGCAATAAGCTGACTCTCTGAAGAATTAGGGCTTCACTCCGTTTAACCGCAGGACGTTCGCTTGCTGGGCCCCCGCCTGGCACACGTGAAGCGCTTGTTTTCAGCGCCCAGACTCGGGCGTAAGGAAGGCAGCCGCTCCCGGCTGCGAGGGCCAGAGGAGCCAGAGCTGCTTCTGGGCCTTCTTCAAGGCTGGTGTTTGAATTGCTCCTTTAGAGGGGACTTTTTGGGGTCATTTTCCAGTGTTGAGAAAGTTTACAGCAAGTGCCCCGGCTGGGGTGGCTCAGTGGATCCAGCCTGTGAACGGAAAGGCTACTGGTTCAGTTCCCAGGCAGGGCACCTGCCTGGGTTGGAGGCTGGGTCATGGGTGTGGGAGAGGCAAGCAATCGAAGTTTTCTCCCTCCCCTTCCCCTCTCTCTGAAAAAATAAATAAAATCTGCCTGGGCTGGTGTGGCTCAGTAGTATTGAGTGCAGGTCTGTAAACCCAAGGGTCGCCAGTTCCATTCCCAGTCAGGGCACAGTGCCTGGCTTTGGGGCCAGGTCCCCAGTAGGGGGCACACAAGAGGCAACCACACATCAATGTTTCTCTCCCTCTCTTTCTCTCTCCCTTCCCCATCTCTAAAAATAAATAAGTATAAAAAATAAAATAAATAAAATCTTTAACAACCGTTGCAGAAAAAACTTAACATTTTTTATCATAAAAATAAAGGCCAGATTTTGGTTTGAAGGTGGAACAAAACTCCCACTGACTTTAAGGCAAGCCACTAAGAAATCCGCCAGGTTTGACGTCGCTGCTCTGCATGTGACCACTCCTCCTGGGTCAGCTGTTCACAAATCGTGACAATCACAGCTGTTCATGCCTCGGGACACAGGGACCCCCCCCAAACACAGTAAAATCCGTGACTTGCCCTGCCCATTAAACAATGGAATGTTTAATTGACGTGTGAGTAGATACAGTTCCGTGAGCGTATGTGTCCTTTTAAAGGATAAGAGAAGAAAATAAAGGATAAAGGACAGGCTGAAAACACTTTGTGACTCATGTAAATGTCTGTGTGACGGGGAGGTGCCCCCCCACACTCGACAGGTGGGGCTGCCGCCCATCCAGGAGACCCTGGAGGGAAGCCCCCCATCCACAGGCAAAAAGCCAAAAGGAGAGAAAAAGAATTTCCTGAGCTACATCAAGTCCTTGGGGTTAATGTGGACGCCACCGAAGCAGAAACACACTTGCAGGATTATAAATCCCCCCTGCAGGCCTGTGTCTCTGAGGGTATTACATTTCTTAGAGAATCTTGTGAAGGAAGAGACATTTGTGACTGACGTAATGAGAAGCCAATGATGGATTTTTCTTCCAATGAGGGATTGGAAGAAGTGATGGATTTTTCTGCAGACGGTGGTGGGACCTAGTTCTACATTTATTAAATTTTCATCTAGTTCCAAACCGAAATGTGAGAATAAGGCTCGTCAGACTCATGTGCGTAGGGTTTCTTCTCTCTAAAACACTACCTGACACAGAAGCGTCAGTCTTCGATTGTGGGGAGACCATCTCAGACCCCCCGGCCCCCATCTTTATAGCGAGAGTGCACCAACCACAGAAAATCGAGGGCTCGCTTGCAAGCAGCTACCAGAACATGGTTGTGAAGTGACATCCTTCCTATTTTGTTTCAAGAAAAGCCTGAAGACACACAGTGAAACCTTTTCCCTTAGTCATTCAAAATAGCCCCCAAACCTCCATACACTAGTATTTTCTGTATTTTTGGTTTTTGCTTGCCAGGATACGTAGAAATATCTGCAGCACATATATAAACAGAAGGCACATTTAACATACCTAAACCTTATGTATAGGATCGTAATTATTTTCATTACCTGTAGGAATGCTAGTTAGAGTCCAAGGAATTTAAGAACCTTGGTGTGGGCTAAATGCCTCCAGGTGACGCATTTTTCCACAGAGAGGAAATGTAAGTGAATCTGTTATTTCTTCAAAATTTAGTTTTGCTTTTTTTTTTTTTTTTGGCCTCCATGCCAATGGCAAGGAAAGAATCAATTCCATTTAAAGTTTGGTTGTTGTTTTTTTTTTTGAACTTTTGCCATCTTCCTGTTGGGAGACCCATGCCAGTGGGCCGATACTTGGACCACTTTCTCACCTGAGGAGCGTGTGGCACTGCTGCGCACCTAGTAAGGACTTTCTTTGTATCTGTTAAGGGGAGAAGTGAATGGACACTTTTTAAGTCGCATTTCGCGGAGCCCTGGAAACGCCCCAGTAGCTGACCCGGGCGCCCGGAACGGAAATCCAGCTCCCTCGCTGGAGCCGGAGACAGAGCTGGCTACCTGCAACCCCGCTTCGGGTTCCTCCCGCGGCTGGTTTTCGGAGGGGCTCACGGGGAAGGCCCGCGGGCAACAGACAACCACAGCCCCACGTGTGAGGCCTGCAGGCCTGGCCACACACCGCGCAGCTGTGCCACGTTCACGTGCGTGTGAGAGGAAGGGCGCGCAGCCCTCCGACCCAAGCGAGCACCAGCGCGCTCGTACCTGTGTTTGTAGAGGTAGAAGGCGAACCCGACAGGATCAGAGCGAAGAAGGGGACGAGGGTGGCCGCCGCCACGGAGCCGCTGCTGGTGCCCGGGGGGCGGCGCGCAGAGTCCTGGTCCGCGCTCAGCGGGCCTGGAAGACAAAAGGGTCGATCAGCTGTGGGCCAATGAACACGCAGACATATTTTATGCATGAGTGTAAATCCTCCAGGAAGCAGCAGTTAAGTCCCAGCAGGACCCGCCGATACTCCTCCGGAGAAACAGCAACGTGCGTCTCCCTGACGGAGGCGCAAAACCTGACCCGTCAGGGGAGGGTCCGCGCGACCTGACTACGTGTAGCGCTGGCTCCCGGGGTGCGGAGGGCAATGGGCCTCGCGCGGTCCGACTCTGCTTACGTTTCCTGATACCCTGGGCGCGAGCGCCGGCTGCTTTCGAAGGCGCAGTGCCAGGACGCAGGGACCGCTGAACTGCCAGGGGAGCCTTGTTTTCTCTTTCTACAAAGTGTTTCAGCTACGAAAATAGCTTCTTAAATAAAAAATTCTTGAACTTCCACATAAAAAAGGTGCAAATAATACTGGTCCCCGGCTTTACCGGAGGCAGCAGGGAGCGACGCCTGCCACCTGAGGCTCTACTGCGCGCTTGCTTTACCCTGATGCCTCGGAGCCGCATCTTGTCGAAACCCTTCCTGGCCGGCAGCACACGGGCCTCGGACGTGGTCGCAGATTTCCAGACGCGCTCACGCCTGCGGGCCGGGCGCCTGTTCTCTAAATCTCTGAGACCGGCGCTGGCACGTGAGTGGCCACACGGACGCTCCCACCCTGAACTTGCAGGGATTGACGCAGGCGTAGCCCTGATCCCTGTGGCTGGGGGGACAATACAGATGCCCCTGGTGGCGGTGCCAGCTGAGGACGGGACAAGCAGCTGCGGGGAGTCCCGGCCACCACTGGCGTCGGCAGGGTCGGGGGGTGCCCTGGACACACGGCGCCAAGGGCACCCACCTCACAGCTTTGTTGGGAGGCCCACGTGCCGGACGTCTCCACTGCCCAAAACCAGGGCCCGTGTACGGGGACGGAAGTGCCGCCACGTGGGAGGCCAGCCTGGACGGCTTTCCTCCCGAACCCGGGGCCTGCGCTGCACCTAGACCAGCACGTGCGCCAGGTGCACGTTTGTGACGTAACAAAATAGTGCCGCGTGCCTGGTACGTGAGCGCCCCCTGGCTCCCAGGAAGCTGCTCCAGGTTCTGCAATCCTGGGAGTCTCCTCCCTGGCTCTCCCAAATCTGTGTTCTGCTTAAATTCACCGAGGTGTTTTCTGCAACAGGACTGCATACTGCTGACCATAATAGGTGTCAGCCTCCCGATCAACAAAGTCCTGGAGAATCTATGCATCACCAGGGACTTCACCCCCTAACAAGGAAGGAGGGTGCCTGAATTACGCAGCTAACCTTTCCCAGGAATTACGAGGCCGTCTGAAGCTCCTAGTTACTTTCAGTTATTTACCTTGTTTTAGCAATTTAAAGGGCAATACATGCACACGGTATTAATTAAAATGGCATAAAAAGGTACGGAAATAAATAGTCAAAAGGTCGATGGAAACGAAGGTCCCCTGGGCCCCCACGTGCCATAGCTTTGGGGTGTTGGTAGTGACCTTGCAGAAAGAACTCTTCACACACATGATTGTGTCTCTTTTATTACCTTTCTAACAACCAGGAGGATGACTCACGGGTTTTAGATTCGGCTTTTTCACCTGAACTGGGCACTTTAGGTTCTTCCACCGGAGGTCAGGTTCAACGCAGTGCTCTGTGGTGTTCATGAAACGAGCCGGAGTTTGTCCAGCCAACCCACTGCCGATGGCCATCGGGGTGTTCCCAGCGTCCTTCGCTAATGGTGCAGCAGTCCCTTGGCCACGGCTGCCCGTCAGCAGGGTCTGACCACTCGGGACGGAGTCTAGCTGAGTACATACCCTCTGCGTCCCTGTTCCTCACCCAACTGCCCTCCAAGGCGGTGGTCCAGCTTCCTCTCAGTGTTGTTTCGTAGGGGCCGTGACAAAACCATCCTGGCCCCCATGCGATGAGGAACTGCCACCTGCTCCCCTCGCCTCCCCCTCATTACCAATGGTTTGACCTTGGGTCAGCCACTTCATGAGCTGTTTTTTTCTTACAAAATGAATGACTGCCTAGGATTGTCATGAGAACTAAGTGAGAAAAATCCATGGGAGTGTCATGTGTAAGCTGTAAAGCCTTGGTCGAATACTGGTAGTTATTAATTAGCTTATGATTTAACCTACAATATTCCACTTTTCTTGCTATGGAGGAAAAGGTGGTGCTGGCTACGCTTGGTCTGGTCAGCCCACCCTGGAGAAGCCTTCTCTGGATCCACCGCCTCCCCCCGGGGGGGTCAAGCCCACTCTGAACCATACACGCCTCCTGCCTGCAACACTTCCCCAGGCAGGCGTGGACATTTCCCTCCACGAAATTCAGCCACTGAGTCTGGGGGGAAGAAGAGGAATAACATTTACTGAGCACCAACCTTGTGTCAAGAACCGCAAGGTCAGTGAGCCCAGACAGAGATGGGGGAGGACATCCCCTGTGACTTTTTTGTTCTGACTTTCAGTTGCACCAGGATAACGAGGTCCACAGAGGTCCAGCAGGCACCCCAGGCCAGCGGGTGTCGGCCAGCTCAGATTACATTTCCCCCCTGGGGGGCAGAGCTCTGAGCAAGTTGGATGGGAATGTTACTTTGCAAGTTGGGTGGGGTCCCTGGAATACTTGTGAAAAGATGAAACATTAAGCTGGCTCAAAGTTCTGTTTCTGCACTCCATAAAACTCCGGCACTCTTCACAGGAAACCACGACCCCCACCCACCTCTTTTTATTCTCCTGGGGTCCCCCTTTCTTCTTATCTCCCCCTTTCTAGTGGGGGTTTTCTCCCAGCCTCAGATCCCAGCTTCTCTGCAGGCCAGTGTTTTAAGTGGTTTTTATTCCTTATTGAAAAAGATATCGGACATACGGCTTTAAAAATTCAAACAGCACAAAAGAATACACCACAAAACATAAATCATCCTTTCCGCCTTGGGGTGGCCACTGTCCTTTCTTCCTTCCAGAACTTTCCCCTGCAGAGACAGGGTGGCAGTTGAGTGTTCGTGGGAGAGGCTCCTTCACACTGACAGATACCCTGAGAGTTTCCTGGCTTCTACCTAGAAGTGGGTTTATTAACGTTGTGGATTTGGCAGCCTAGTTTAAAGACGCTTTGAGTGAAAACTAGTTTTAAAAGCGTAAACTCCTCCTTAAAAAGACTAAATTTGAAGTGTTATTTTATTTATAAACTGAATAATGTTGGCACAAAAAAAATAAGACTTTTTTTTTTACTCATAGTTTGATTTTTTTAAATATGCATAAGTTATATTTACAAACATAGCACATCTAGGCTTGCCGACCCCTTCGGGCCCCCGACGTGGCTCGGGCTAAGAAGAAAACTAGGACAGCACTTGAACTCCTGCACATCCAAGAAACACACACACACACATCACCAACCAGGGGATCTTAAAATGATCATCATCACTTTTATCAATTTAACTTTTTATATATTTCAAGTTCATAAGTCTAATATGAAGTACTTTCAAACATGTCCCACTGTAAGTTCCCTCCAGATGGCAGATGTCCAGCCCTGGCCACGGGGACAGGGGAGTGACCACCCGGAACCTGAGCGAGAGGAGATGGGGTGAGCTGGGGGGCCAGATGGTCAACCCCACCCAGGCAGCAGAGACCGCCTCTATCAGTATGTATTCCAGACCTTTCTTTTCTTTTTATCCTGAAAAGACCTTCAAATGTAACAAGAAAGCTTCTATGAACTGGTTTTCAAAAACCAACCCTACCTTTTTAAGATGGGTTACAAGTTTCATCTCTCTCCGCCCACATGCATAAGAATTTCTGCCCGGCTACAGTTCTGATGAGGGGCACATGGCTTGCTCCTTGATTCCCAGCTGTAGGCAGACAAGAAGCTGCTCTCCGGCTGCAGGAAGGTGGCCAGGTGCCTCTCTGATACTCCATGCAGTCTGTCCCCACACCCGCTCTGTCCAACAGGTCACATGCAGGGGCTCCCAACCTAGTGAGACAGACAGACAGACAGACAGACAGACATCACAAGGCACTGCCCTTCCCCCAAATGGCCCCTGCCAATCGTTCCCTCTTCTCCTTCAACCTGTCCAAAGCGGCAAGGAGAGAAGAGACTTGACCAGCCCGCAGTGGTGGCCCTCTGAAGGTCCACACACCCCTTGCTTCTCCCCAACCCTGACAGCTGCCTGAAAACAATTTTTTTTTCCTGATCCCAGAGCTTCCACCTGCCCTGTAAAGTAAACATTTCCCTTAGCCTTGCTTTCCCTTTTCCACATTCTGGTCTCTCTGCCCCTGGCATGCCTCCCTGGGCCCTCCTCCACCCCTCCTTTCCCATGGCACTTCTCTCGAGCCCTTGGGAAAGGAGTGTGATTTTTTTTTTTCCCCTTTAGAATGGGGTTCAAAGGTGAAACCCAACTGGCAGGGGCCAGGCAGCACAGATGGTTCCTTCCAACTCTGTTTGCATATCAAGTACGTGGGAACATCCTTTACTTTTACAAAGAAATATGCTTTATCTTCTTCCTCCTTGGAACACGCAGCCCTCAGTCCACCTTCCATTTGCACAGTTTTGACAGAGATAGGGATGTACTGAGATAGGATTCGTTTTCCTCCTACTTCTAGTCTAATAAAAATTGCAGTGCAGGAGTGGAGCTAAAATGACAATAGACACTGTCAGCAAGGGTTTGAGAACTTTCTGAACAAACAGGGAACATGCAATTCTAAGGTGGCTACTCTCTAGCCAATGTTTGGCAAGCGGAACATCAGTTCAGCATGGCTAGATCTTCTGATGTTTTAGGAGACAGACATCCAGGTATTTTTTGTGGGGGAAAAAAATCGTGTTTGTAAAGGGTGGTAGCTAATTCAAAAGATTTTAAAAATGCTGCAAAGAATTAAAGTGGACAAGTTTGCAAGGTGCAGGAGGAAAGCCAGGCTGCAGTCCCTGGTATTGTGATATCTAACAGATTCTTATTTTATTGTACTTGCTTAATTTATACTAGTCACTTCTATAGTTGTGCCCTTTATAGAGATCAATAATCCATTTCTGTATTCATTCTCTGTATTTGTGATGTACCCATGTTTTCTAGTCTAGCTCCACAGCACAACTAATGGTCCCCAGAGGTCAAATTACTCTCCTTTTTTTTTCTTTCTCACCCACAAAAGGAGCTAAGACATCGTGCTTCTAGAACCAAAGCTTGGTGTCAAATCAGGTTAGAGATGCAATTATAGCAGCTTTACCATTTTTCTCAAGTGGCTAGAAATTTTAGCAATAACCTTATTGCAAGTCCTTGTTTCAGAGGAGAACCGATTAAATATGATTAGCATGCACCCACAGGCGTGAAAACACCACGATGATGAAAACCGAAATCAGCAGTATGTGAGTCACTTCTCAGATCACCATGTGCCTTCTTTGACTCCTTCCGGAGCACTTTTCCCCGCCCTGGAACTCCCACCATTTGGCACCCTCTCCCAACCGCATTTACTCTGCATCTGCATCATAACCATGTTTGAGCTGCCTTCCCAGAAAGCCTGGGGACCACACCTCTCCATTGCATCACCAGGCCTGGCAGAGTCCCTAGCTTACAGTTGGCGAAGCAAGCGTTATTGCATAAACCATTGTCATCATCCAAATAACAACTACCACGTCCAGAGCACTTACTACGTGCTGAGTAGTTCACCTATATCATCCTGGAGGCTTTCCCACAGTGGACCATGTGATCCAAAACAGCACCCCGGTCCCCTCTAGCACACCATATTTTATTTCTCTGGATAGTATTTACTGCTGTCCAATATATGCATTCACTGCTATTAGTATTTATTTGATGCTGAAGTTACTCCCAGACTGTCAGTTTTCCTTCCTTCAGTTTCTTCTGTGATATCTTTTTCTCCCACGCGGCCTCCTCCCCCGGTTTAGGAGCCATCCGCCCTTTCTCGGTGGGGTCCTCCCAGTGTGGCGGGGAGAGCTCACGTGTGGGGGAAGCCGCCGGGAGCTCCGTAAGTTTCGAGCTGAATCTCAGGAGCTTTGCTCACCGGGACGGCTCCTTGACCAGAGACTCTGCATCTAAACCCTTAAGTCCAGCATTTCTCTCTGCACTTTTAAGCACACGCAGCAGAAACTCAGTGTTCTTTGGGGGCCACTGACCCTGTGTCCAGCCCCCCTGTTTGGCCTGGACACACCCACTGACTCCACCATGGTAACGACGGAAGGGTACACATTGCTCTGTGAGGTGACATCCTTCAGCTCCCTGGTGGCCTTTCGAACATGCATACCTTTGGTGGCCTGAGCAGTTTCACAAGTGTTTTTAAAGTAAACACGGAGATTTGAACCTCTTGATTTGCATGGTTTGGTGGGGTTTTCTGGGTCAAGTGAATACTGAGCTATTTTCAGGTCCCCTGTGGCCACTGTCAGCCAGAGAAGTCTAACATATTTTTTAAAGTATGTCTCCCCCACTAGAACGAAAGCTCAAAGAAAAGTCTGCCTGCCCAAGTCATGCTTAGCACATAGAAAGCAAACGAATGAATCTTAAGCTTCCCACCTCCTTGGGTGGCAGAGTTGACTTGCACACATGTCTTAATATTTACATTTAGATTTCAGATTTATCGTGTTGATTATTTGAGGTTCATTGTGAGCCCTGGAAGTGGGGGGTGGAATAAAAATTAAGAATTTGGTTACATTTCCCCAAGTACTGAATAACATCGTGCGAGAATTTTTGCTGCAATAAAAAAGCCACTTCCTTTGACATAAGATGCTTCACATGGCTAGGTCTTGCCACATCCTCCTGTATGACACAGTTCATGATGGCCAGGGGGGCTGGCCCAGCCAGATTCCAGACGCTTGCCCTTATCAGAGCAGGGAGTGGAAGGTCGCCCTGGGGGGTGTGCAGGAGGGTCTGCTCGGATTTTGCGGGTTCCGGGGTGGCTGTGGGATTCTCTACGTTGGGGCCCT